TTTCCAGCTTGGATTCATTTTCTCCATCATATTCAGGTACACCTATCAAATGTAGATTAGGTCTTTTCACATAGTCCCACATTTCTTGGAGACTTTGTTCATTCCTTTTTAGCCTTTTTTCTCTAATCTTGCCTTCTCATTTTATTTCATTGAGTTCATCTTTGACCTCTGATATCCTTTCTTCTGCTTGGTCAATTCGCAAAAAGAAACTTGTGCATGCTTCACCAAGTTCTTGTGTTGTGTTTTTTAGCTCCATCAATTCACTTATATTCCTCTCTATGTTGTCCATTCTCGTTAGTATTTCATCAAATCTTTTTTCAAGTTTCTGAGTTTCTTTGCATTGGATTAGAACATGTTCTTTTAGCTCACTGAAACTTCTTATTACCCACCTTCTGAAGTCTGATTCTGTCATTTCATCACACTCATTCTCCATCCAGCCTTGTTCCCTTGCTGGTGAGGATTGGTGATCCCTTGTAGGAGGAGAGGTGTTCTGGTTTTGGGTGTTTTCATCCTTTTTGTGCTGGTTTCTTCCCATCTTTGTGGGTTTATCCACCTGTCGTCTTTGTAGTTGCTGACTTTCAGATTGCGTCTCTGAGTGAACTTCCAGTTTGTGGATGATGAAGTTATTTCTGTTTCTTAGTTTTCCTTCTAACATTCTGTCCCCTCTGCTGGAGGACTGCTGAGGTCCACTCCAGGCCCTACTTGCCTGGGGATCACCTGCAGCAGCTGCAGAACAGTAAGGGTTGCCACCAGTTTCTTCTTCTGCTATCTTTGTCCCAGAAGGATACCTGCCAAATGTCAGTCTGTTCTATCCTTTATGAGGTGACTCTTTGGATATACAGGGATCAGTGAGCTGCTTGAGGAGACAGTCTGTCCTTTATTGGACCTCAAATGCTGAGCTGTGAGCTCTGTTGTTGATTCAGAGTTGCTGGACAGGTACGTTTAGGTCTGCTATAGCAGAACTCATTATCTCCCCTTTTTTGTTGCCCAGGTGCCCTGTCCCAGGGAATTAGGGCTTTATGAGTTTCCGTTGGGCTGCTACCTTTTTTTTTTTTTCACTGCTGCCCTGCCCAGCAAGGAGGCAGCCTAGTCACTGTCTGCCTGCAGAGGCTTTGCCGAGCTGCTGTGGGCTCCACCCAGCTGCCGCGTGATCTTCCCTGCAGTCCTGTTTATATGCGTGTAGTTAGAACTGCCTTGGCAATGGTGGCTTGCCTCTGTAATGGCAGACTCTCTCTGTAGTGGCAGGTTGCCTTGGCAACACCGGGCTGCCTCAGCAATGGCGGACTGCCTCCGTAGTGTTGGAGTCTCTCAGTAATGGTGGACGCCCCTCCCCTACAGAGCTAGACTGTTGCGGGTTCAGCTGTGCTTGCTGTGAAACTCTCAACCCAGAGCATTTTCAATTTCTGTATTTTGTTTTTTTTTTTTTTTTGGGGGGGGGGGGGGTGGTGGGCCCAGCCGAGCCTGATCACCTGGCTCCCTGACTCAGAGTCTTTTTTTTTTTTTTTTTAGTTGAACGGTTGACTCTCTCCTAGGTGTTCCAGTCACCTGTTGAAAAGGCACCGGGATCTGTGTGATTTCCCATGCAGCAACTCACTGCATTGGCTGAAACAGCGGCGCTGAGATTCGTGGTGCTCTTTTTGTCTGGGAATCTCCTGACCTGGCTCCCTGTTTCAGTCCCGTTTTTCATCAGATGAATGGGTGACTGTGCCTTACCGGGACTCCAATCACCAGCTAAAAGGGCACCCGGACCAGTGTATTTTGTACAGAGAACCACCACGCCAGGGCGTCAGCCAAAATAGCCATGCCGACCAAAACAGCCATGCCAGCCAAAACAGCTGCGATGGTGACCCATGGGGCTCCTCTGCCTGGGAGTCTCCTGGTCTGTGGGCGATAAAAATCTGTCTGGAAATGCAGTGTCCAATCACCCTCTGCGCTTTCACTGGGAGCTGCAATCCTGTGCTGCTCCTAATCAGCCATCTTGGATCTACTCTTCCCTTTGAAATTCTTTATGCTTTACAAAGAAAGTATCATTGGAACCTGGACTGAAGCCATGTCTTCTATAGTAAGTCTGAATGGTAGATGCTTGGAAAGTAACGATTTCCTTGAGAAAAGCTTTGCCTATTCTCAACTTGGAATGTACATTAAATCACTTGGAAACTTTTTAAAAATTCCCTTTGCTTGGGCTCCACTTCTAAAGATTCAATGTTAATTGGTCTGAAGTGAAACCCAAGAAGCATTTTTTTTAAGTGCTTGGTGGTTTTAGCATGCAGCCACAGCCAAGAACCATTGTTCTACCCTCACTTCCAGTTCCCTCAACATTTGACACCTATCATAAAAGAGCCCTTCTTCAATGATTGCAGCTAAGTTGTCTGGGAAGTTCTTCTGCACAATACTTATGGCTTCCTTCTACTGCTCTGATATCTGGTAGGGAGGGAGCCCTTGTTCTCAACACCTCAAGTTTCGACAGAACATAGGGTACTCATTCCTATCCCTTTCTTGCTGGAGGGGTTAGGGGAGGGGCAGATGATAGCACATCCATATTCTCTCTGTCTCTTATTCTTCCACAGATGAGACAGAGAAACTCATCTGATGGGTTAGAGGCTGATATCCACTGTGCCATTGTCTATAGAGTGGTGGTAGTTTTCCTTATAAGCAGGAAACACGCTCCACCTATTTCTTTTTTGTCCTTTATCTCTTTGTGATAGCAAAATTAACTAATTGGTGCTTATTGAGTATTTACCATGCATTGGGTGGTGTTCTAAGCTTTTCATATAAATTAATTCAATACATCCCAACATCAACCTCATGATGTACCTTCTATGGTTATACCATTTTACACTTGAGGAAGCTAAGGCTTAGTGGGATTAAATAGCTTGTCTGACACACTGAACTTGGACTGTGATATCAATCCAGACAGTCTGGGTCCAAAGCTTGCTCTCTTAACTTCCATGCTACTGATGGCAGCGGCCATTCCAGACAGTCTGCCACTGCTATCACACTAGCTGCAGCAGAGAGGTGCAGCTGAGGCTGCATCCTCCATGGAGCCGGTGGGATCTGGGAACAAGCAAGAGCCCTGCCCCTTCCAAGTTGGGGTGGGAGCTCCCTAGATGCTACTGTCACCACCCAAACCATGGCTGTAGACTCTGACTTCCCAATCCACAGAGTAGCAGGAGCCCTGCCCTCCCAGTAGGGCTGCAGCCACCCAAGTGTAGCTATGGATCTGAACTTCCTTTTGCTTTTGGGGAGCTGGGAGCAGGCAGGAGCCCTGCCTTCCTGGGCACAGCTGCAGCTGCCCAAACTGTGGCTGCAGACTCAGGCACCCTTGCACTGTTGGGGGCCTGCGAATGCCCCCCTGCCCTCACAGGCTTGGAGGTGCCTGCTCCTGCTGTCTGGCTTCTCCCTACTCCTGGTGTCTGCTCTGACTATGGAGCAAGGTTGGGGCCAAGCCCTGGCACTGCCACAGGGCAGTGGGGTGGAGGCACACTCGGGGCAGTGCTGACATGCCAGCCCCCTGCTGCCTTGGCCTCCTCCTTACTTTGGGCACTGAAGAGCATGGGAGGGAAGCTGAGAGGGTGTTGAGGGCTGCCCATCGCTGGCCTGCAGGCACCCCTTGGCAGGAAGAGTCTGGGTGCCATGAATGACAGGGGAGGCAGTTAGGCTCCTGGGCAGAAGAGGGCAGGGCCCCAGTGAAGCCCTACCTTCATGCTGAGAAGGCATGAAGCCTGGGGTCCAGGCTGCCAGTCCTGCTGCCTGGAGGGGGAGTGTGTATTGCTTTTCCTGGGCTTGCCTATGGCTGCCCATGGACCAATCAGCATGCATTTCCCCTCTCTGAAGATCAAAAAACCCTGGACTCAGCCAGAGCAGAGGAGATGTCTGGATAACCAGCTGCAGAGAGGAGCTACCTTCTCTGGGTAGAGCTGAACACTCATTGGGATGACCTGCCTGCAGAAAGGAACCACCCACTCCAGGGCCTCCTTTCTACTGACAGCTGAACACTTAACAGGATGACCTGCCTACAAAGAAGAGCTACCCACTGTGGGTCTCCTCTGAGCTGTTCTAACACTCAGTAAGGCTGCTGTTCATCTTGCCCACCCTCCATGTGTTTGCATACCTCATTCTTCCTGGACACAGAACAAGAAGTCAGGCAAAGGCCCCACTGGCCAGAGAGGTTTCCAGCCAGAAAAGCAATGCCCCAAAGATCCCATAACACTACTATATTATATAGCTAGGGTTCTAGCTGGCTTTTGTTGCACAATTGGTAAGCAGAGTTGAAGGCTATTCACTGTCACTCAGGGACTTGCCGGCTTTCTCCATTCTCCTAGTAACTGAATCTATAATCCTCTGTGCAAACTGCATAAATGAAAATTATAAATTTAGGATTTTCTGCATAAAAATCACTCCAAGTGTTTGTAAATACAACTCTACTCTCAAGTGGGTACCATGGCCTAGAATTGAATAGGGGGACGGGAGTTAGCAGTGGAAACTCTTACTGAACTAACACTCGGGCATTAACATAATTTGTCTGGGAGTTCTGTACTTCAAGAATTTACAATTCCCAACAATTTTGTGCTAACAGTTTTTCATCCTAAAGTGATCCTTTACCCACACTGCACACCTTCCTTTTGGATTTTACCTTGCCTCATGCTAACACACTGCCTCTTTACAATGATGCACTATATCTGATTATGCATCCATGCAAAAAAAGTTTTCTGCCTCAGACAGTTCATTGTGATTTTGTATTGTTATTGATTGATTGTACTAGTCTAGCCCCAATTCACTACAATGGTTCCAGTCACCATGACCATATGGCTTTAAATGGGTGTTTTTATTGTCACTATAGGTGTTTTGGTTTTCAAAAGCAAAGCTTAGAAAATTTGGAGCATTTTAACTCAAGCCATTGTAAGCAAAAGATTGCCAGTACCAGGAAAAAGTTTTCCTCTCTGAGGAAATTGTCAATGAGAATTGTGTAACAACTTATATTTTCCTTGACTGTCTAAATACAAAACTTAGTTTTAGAAGACTATGTAAGGATAAAGATTATTTAAAAATATATATTTTAAGTTTTATTACATATGTCCTTTATTAGAAGCAACTTTAAATCCTATTTCAAACGTATTGGTTTTAACTAAAATAAAGTTTTACTGGAAGACAGTCATGCTCATTCATTTATGTGTCATCTAGTGCTGCTCTTACCCTGCAACAGCAGAGTTGAGTACACCGTTAAAATGTGCTGTGTACTCAACTCAGCTCTCAACTCATCTGACCCACAAAGTCTAATGTGGTTACCATCTGGCCCTTTACAGAAAATCTGCCGTTCCCAGCTGTATAGCATTCCCCTCCCACCTTCTATCCCATCATTTGTGTTTCTCATTTTGTGTTCCCGATGTTTTATTTCAAAAGTGAATAATATAACCTTTACCTAGTTTAGGTTAGCATTTTTAAAACAAAACAAAATTTAGATGCTTCCTTACTGGTGCTGTTTTTTTTTTTTTTTTCTTGCCAGTTATCCTCAGGGGGAAAAAAGTTGCCTCAGTTGCCCCAATCCTACTTTTGCTAGGGCAAGGTGAACCCTTTCAAGTTTGTATGATCAGCTTGTTTTTTTAACTCAGAAAATTAATTATTAACTGTGATTGCTTCTATTTTATTTGTTCTAGTTTCTTCTTCAAGAACTCCTATTGCCATGGGATAGGTCATCTAGAGATAACTTCTGTCATTTTCATCTCTTTGCCCATTCCTTCCCATCTCATGTTGGATCACCTAATAAATGTGTCACCAACATTATCAGTTTTATTCTCTGCTGTGATGTTTCTGCTCTTTTCACTGCATCCAAGTGAATGTGTAAATTTTGTCGCTGGATTAGAATCTTTTTACATTTTTTCCATCTTAGCCCACTTTCTTTTCTTTTCAGCCTGCATCTGTCTATTTTTTGACCTTGTCTGTTCTTATTACTCCCTACTTCAGTTTCTGAAAAGACCCTTTCTTTTTGACTCCTATTAAAGACACCAAGCAAATGTTTCTGAATTTTTTTATTTCTTACAGTGAGATATTTTCTAACATAAGCTTTTATTGTTTTCAAAGTAGTATACATTTTCCTTTATAAATTATTTACTTGAGCTCCATATTGATGTTTTTGTTCATTTACTGTGTTTTTCTGTTTGCCAGTCTTTGAATGAGGAAGAATCATCGTGGAATCCTGATGCTTGTCAATACACAGGATGGGCAGATGGCCTTTCAACAGCACCGTCTCTACGGCTGTTGCATGAACATACTTCTTAGATCCAAAGGTGGGTTGATATGCCACTGTAGAAGTGGACCAAGGTATACTTTTCTGTTCCAATGGAGACAGACACTTGGGTTTCTGGTTTGGGACTATTGTGAATAGCACTACTATGAATATTCTTGTCATGCCTGTTGGTGCACATACTCATGTATTTCTGCTGAATACATATCTAGGAGATAAAATCCTGAGTCATGGAATATGCATATTTTCAACTCTAGTAGACAATGCCAATGTCCTGTGAATAGTGAACCAAAACTATTTGGAAAAATATTCCATATTTCCTTTTGTTTGATTCAAAAAGCCAGCACGTCCTCACAGTTAACAAAATATTGAAATGGAACATAAGAAAATGTTCTTTAAGTAGGGCATCTAGAAAACACCAAAGAGAATAAAGGTTTTTCATTTGATAATTATTATTACTAAAAATCATTTTAAATTATTGAGTGTTTAAGGAAAATAAATCTCTTTTCTCATGAATCACACACTAGCAAGCTTATGAGCACTGCACACCTTGGGAGAAGTCCAGACTATTGGAATTCTTTGTGATGATTCATACAGCTACTGCTGCTTCTTTTTTAAAATCATAATCTGTAAAAAAAAAAAAAAAAGTTAAACAAGTGTTTATGATTATGTCATCTTTTAGAAACATTATCAGATCAATACATGCAAAAAATTACTGTGATACAATGACAAAGAGTCCTAGCTTTGAACTCAGACAGCCCCACACACGTCCCAGCTCTGCCATTTATAAGCCTTATAGATGCAGATGTTTATTCAGTGTCTCAGTTTCCAAACTTTAGCACTTAAAAAAAATCTGTACATTAGCTGGGTTGTCATTGAAAATAATATATATACATCATAAAAAAATAAAAATACAAAAGAATGTCAACATGAGGAAAGTCAGTCTCTTTTCCTTCAGTGTGACCTCCAGTCCCCAGTTTCCATGCCTGGCAACAACTACCTACCAATTTCTTGTTCACCTTTTCAGAAATATTCTCTGTATATTGCAGGCATAATGCACATACATATGTGTTTGTTTGTATGCATGCATATGTATTTCTAACTTTTAAAAAACCATGTATGCCTTTATTTCATTACTTACCCAAACATTAATGGACCATAAACAGAATAGTCAGACATGTACAGTAACTAAGTTTATCATCTTTGATGCATGCCACCTTTCAATTACATAAAGCCCATAGCTGCTTACTTATTTTCAGTGTTATCATCTCAAAGATACAGGTGGGTAGAATAAATTTTATCTAACAGTATGTTAGCCTGATTTACTATTTTATATATTTTCATATGATATGATGCTTCAATTCATCCTCTTGACCTGGGTCTTGCAAATTACCAGGAGCAGGCCTGCTTATGAATGTCCTGAAGACCAGTTATCTGTGGAACATTTGTGTGGAACATTTTTTTTTAACTTGGGTTTTAACTTTGTGCATAAATAGCAACAAGAGAACAAGGAGTTCTAAGGCTTGTATGTTATCTCTAGGTGAAAGGGTTTCAGATTAGTTTGCTTGTAGGATGATATCACCAAGATAACAGAAGTCTGGTCTAGTATCCTTGTAAACCCCAGTCATATAGTCTCTCCCCACTGACCTGGGCAAACACAATGGCTAGTTGTAGATAATAGAGGGAGGCAGCTAATCCCATAAAGCCAGGTAGATACACTAGCTTCTTTATTTTTGAACCTCCAGCCAAAAGGAGTTCAATAAGGCCAGCAAAACCATAACACCAAGTCTCGGAAAAAATCCAGGAGGTGCATTTTGGAGATAGTCATAGCTGTCTAACCCCCATTGAACTAAACTTTGCATCTTGGGCTTATTTTGGGAGTACGTTTGCTGACACCAGCTTGTGTATGGCTTGCAGTAGTGTTGGAGCTGTGAGATGCTTTCTTCAAGCGGACTCCTTGACTCCTCCACATACTTCGATTGACCCTCAGTAACTGAGTAGAGTGAAAGCTAATCAACCTTCATGGAAATTTTGGGAGCTGAGTCCTTTTTCGGTGCAGTACAGACTTTGAAGGTGAGCAAGCTTGGGCCAGCTGGCCCCATGGACCTCTGAATTACCTTGAACATGTTGCTGGCAGTGGTGGCTCTGGCAGGGTCCCATTTATTTACTTTTAACTGACAAAGATTATATATATTTTTCAGGTATAGCATGATGGTTTAAAATATGTACACATCGTAGAATGGTTCATCAAGCTAATTAACATGTGCTACTTCATATTCTTTTCCTTTTTTGTGGAAAGGGTGCTTAAAATCGCTCTTAGCTATTTTCAAAATATAATACATTGTTATTAAATATAGTCACCACTGTTGTACAATGCATCCCTTGAACTTATTCTTCCTAATTTAAATTTTTGACTGACATCTTCCCACCACACTAGCTTCTGGCAACCAACATTCTACTCTTTATTGAGTTCAACTTGCTTCTATTCTACATGTAAGTGATAGTGTATATGTATGTGTATGGGTGCATTATGCTGGTATTTCTGTGCCTGGCTTATTTCACTTAGCACAATGCTCTCCAGGTTCACATATGTTGCTCCAAATGATGGTATTTCCTTCTTTTTTTTAAGGCTGAATAGTATTCAATTGTGTGTATATTATATTTTCATTATCTATTCCTCTGTTGATGGATACTTAGGTTGATTTCAAATCTTGGCTATTGTGATTAATGCTGCAAGGAACATGGGAGTGTAGATATCTCTTTCACACACTGATTTCATTTCCTATGGATATATACCCAGTTGTGGAATTGCTGGATCATATGGTAGTTTCATTTTTGATTTTTTGAGGAGCCTCCATAATGTTTTCCACAATGGCTGTACTAATTTACTTTCCTACCAACAGTGTACAAGGGTTTTCTTTTCTTCACATGCTCCTCAACACTTAGGTTTTGTCTTTTTGATAACAGCCATTCTAGCAGTATGAGGTGCTATCTCATTGTGACTTTCATTTGCATTTCTCAAACAATTAATGTTGGGCATTTTTTCACATATCTGTTGGCCATACGTATGTGTCTTATTTTGAGAAATGTCTATTTAGGTCCTTTGCACATTTTTTAATTGGGTTATTTATTTTCTTGCTGTTGAGTTCCTCACATATTTTGAATATCAACCTCTTATCAGATGTATGGTTTGCAAATATTTTCTCCCACTTAGTAGATTGTCTCTTCACTCTGTTGATTGTTTATTGCTGTGCTGAAACTTTTTAGTTTGATGTAATCTCTTTTGTCTATTTTCACTTTTGTTACCTGTGCTTTTGAGTTATATCCTAAAGATCATCATCCAGGCCAATGTCAGGAGATTTTCCCTTATGTTTTCTTCTGGAAATTTTACAGTATCAGGTTTTATGATTAAGTATTTAATCTATCTTAAGTTGGGTTTTAAATATGGTGGAGAAAAGGTTCTAATTTCATTCTTCTCTATGTAGAGATCCAATTTTCTCAGCATCATTTATTGAAAAGACTGTCCTTTCCCCATTGTGTGTTCTTGGCACCTTTGTCAAAAATCAATTGACCACAAATCCGTGGGATTATTTCTGGGCTATCATGTTCCATTAGTCTATCTGTGTAGTACCATGCTGTTTTGATTAGCATAGCTTTGCAGTAGACTTTTCAGTCAGGTAGTGTGATGGCTTTGTTCTTTTTGCTTCAAGATTGCTTTGGCTATTTGGGGTCTTTCGTGGTTCTATATGAATTTTAGAATTGCCTTTTCTATTTCTGTGAAAAATATCACTGGAATTTTGATAAATATTGCATTGAATCTGTAGATTGCTTTAAGTAGCATGGATATTTAAACAATATTAATTCTTCCAGTCCATGAACACAGGATATCTTTTCATTTAATTGTGTCTTCTTCAATTTCTTTCATCAATGTTTGATAGTTTTCAATGTACAGGTCTCCTTGATTCAATTTACTCCTAAGTATTTTATTTTTTCCTTGTAGCTGTTACAAATGGGATTGTTTTCTTGATTTCTTTTTTGGATAGTTTGTTGTTCACGTATAGAAATGCTACTGATTTTCATATGTTGATTTTGTACCTGTAACTTAATTATTATTTCTATTAGTTTTTTGTTGGAGTCTTTAGGGCTTTCTATATATAAGGCCATGTCACCTGCAAAGAAAAAAAAAATTAACTTCTTTCTTTCCAATTTGGGTGCCTTTTATTTCTTTCTCTTGCCCAACTGTGCTGACTGAGACTTCCAGGACTATGTTGAACAGAAGTAGCAAGAATGGGGCATCCTTGTCTATTTCTGATCTTAGAGAAAAAGTCTTCAACTTTTTAGTGTTGAGAATGATGTTAGTTGTGGGTTTGCCATATATAGACTTTACTATGTTGAGGTACAATTTGTTCTATAAGAAATTTGTTAAGAGTTTTTTTTTTTTTTAAATGAAAGGATATTGAATTTGTAAAATGTTTTTTTCCTGAATCTATTGATATGATCATATGATTTTTGTCCTTCATTCTGTTAATATGGTATATCACATTTATAGATTTGTGTATGTTGAGCCATTCTTGCATCTCTAGGATAAATCTCACGCAATCATGGTGAAAGACCCTTTTAATTTGTTGAATTTGGTTTGTTACTTTTTTTTTGAGAATTTTTGCATCTATGTTAATCAAGAAAATTGGCCTGTAATTTTTCTTTCTTGTAGTATCCTTGTCTAGTTTTGAAATAAGAGTAATGCTAACCTTGTAAAATGAGGTTGAAAGTATTCCCTCTTCTTCAATTTTTTAGGAGTTTGAAATTTAAATGTTTGGTAGTAGTAAGCAGTAAAGCTGTTGGGTCCTGCCTCAGATTTTCTTTGATGAGAGTCTTTATTACTGATTCAATCTCCTTACTTATTATTGGTCTATTATGATTTTCTATTTCTTCATGGTTCAATCTTCATAGACTGCATGTGTCTAGACATTTATCTATTTCATCTAGATTGTCCAAACTGTTGGGGTATAATTGTTTATAGTAGTTTCTTTTTCATTTTTGTAGCATCAGCTGTAATGTCTCCTCTTTCATTTCTGATTTTCTTTAAGTCTTCTCTCTTTGTCCTTAAGTAGTCTAAAGGTTTGTCAATTTTATCTTTTCAAAATATAAACTTTGAGTTTTGTTGATCTTTTCTATTATTTTTCTAGTCTCTATTTCATTTGTTTCTGGTTGGTCTAATCTTTATTACTTTTTTCTTTCCACTAATTTTGGGCTTAGTTTGTTCTGTTTTTAGTTCCTTGAGGTGTAATGTTAGGTTGTTTACTTGAGATCTTTCTTCTTTTTCAATGTAAGTACATATTGATATAAATTTCCCTCTTAGAACTGCTTTTGTTGCATCCCATTACTATGTCTTGTGTTTCCATTTTCATGTACCTCAAGGTATTTTTTTAAATTTCCCTTTTCATTTCTTCTTTGACTCCTTGTTGTTCAGTACCATGCTGTTTAATTTCCATGTAATTGCGAATTTTCTGAAATCCCTCCTGTTACTGATTTCTATTTTATATGCTACTGTGGTTGAAAAAAAATACTGGCTATAATTTCAATCTTCTTAAGTTTGTTAGGTTTGTTTAGTGGCCTAACATGTCATA